TTAGCTCTCTAATCTTTAAAAAGCATTGGGTTAAATTCCTCAAGGAGACAAAGGTTAACCAGACACAGACCACCTTCAAAGGCACGTATGATCTTATCAGGGAGATAAGATCTGTACAGAAAGAAAGTAAACATAAGTTGACAATAATAGTACTTCACAGTTATTAAGCTCTTACTCTAAAACTTCACAATGACCTTACGAGATACTTATTATCCCCATTTTACAGATGTGCAAGCTGAGTCTTACAGGATTGCAGTAATGTTTTCAAGGTTATAGATAATTAAAGAACTAAAATCCATTAACCATATAACTGCCACCTACATGTCATAAAAACAGCGTATTGTTATGCCATTTCTGAATGTCAGATACCTTGACAATATTTTTGCTTTTTTAATTATGTCTCTACTGAGAATGTCAAGCTCAATGTGTAGAGTCAACATATAAAAAAGTACCTGAGTCTATTGCAGAGCCAGGGGACAGTTGATCTTTGAGAGTGAATGACTTCTCACGTCCAAAGTCCTCATCTCAACTGGGTGCTGGGTGAGGAAGCTCATTTTCCACACTGATTGTTCTTCCACCTGTCAGCTCCGGGCCTTGACCCTTTCTGCACCAGGTTACATACCCACATCTGCTTATTCCACTCATCTAGTCATTTCTTTCCTCTCCTTCCAAGCTCATTCCTAAATATCCTAGTCCAAGAAGCATTCCCAGGATGCTCTGGACTCTCCTCACAGCCACCAGCACTGAATTCAGATTCTACACATTCACTCACCTACTCAGCATTTAGCATTTCCCCACCCTCAATGTCACAATTACCTGAAATCTTGTCATTCCAATCCTGGTGCAATTTTGGAACATATCTGTCTCGTTATCCAATGTGACATTAAGCTTTACTAGTATATTAAGCATAGAGCCCAACACAAGTAAATATTTAATGTAAATTATTAACTGAAATTAATGGAGTGATTTAAGTTAGATTATATGGAACTTTTTATAATTATTTCAACAAACGAAATGCTATTTTTAAAATCAGAATTTGAGATAAACCTAAGCTGAATGGTCCTGCTAATGAACAACAACAACAAAGTCTGTATCTTAAATCACATCTACAGCACACATTTCATTTTTAATTTTGGAAAGAAAAGAACATGTTGCTGAATGTTCAAAAACAGATTTTTAGAAAATGACCTCATAATCCCATACCCCTAATATGAAATGATTGTTGTTTTATATGACTTTCTGGTCTTTTATCAGCTTTATAGTTAACACATTTAACATTATAGTGTATGTATAATTTTGTCTTTTTTTCCCTGCCACATGCCGAATTATTTTCATAACTATATCTACTAATTGCTTCCATACTGTTGAATATTTAGGCTGACAGAATGTTTCTGCTACTACAAATATTATCAAACAGCTTTGTGTGTATAACATTCCCAATATTTTAGATGTTTTTCCTAGAACAGATTCCCAGAAGTGGAATTACTGTGTTCAATAATTTAAACACTTNATACTGTTGAATATTTAGGCTGACAGAATGTTTCTGCTACTACAAATATTATCAAACAGCTTTGTGTGTATAACATTCCCAATATTTTAGATGTTTTTCCTAGAAGAGATTCCCAGAAGTGGAATTACTGTGTTCAATAATTTAAACACTTTTACATCTCTTGATACAGCCTGGTTCTCTGGAGAAAAAAAAAATTGTATAGGCACTGTCTTTATTTTATGGCTATCTTCCTAATTCCTGCAAATATTAAAAAGCTTTGTTGAAGGGGTGCCATCTTTTATAGATTTCTCTGAAGCCAAGACCCAGCTCGGAGTGGTCACAGAGGATGCAAGCAGATCCAGCGGGCTGTACTCACCTTCCCCCCTCCCACTGCCCTTCTGCCTGCTGTTGTGAAGCGGCAGCACTTCCAACGAGGCAATGCCCGACTTCTCCAGGATGCTCACGTCCACGGTCAGCCTCCCGACCAGCTGCTGGGGGCGCACACTGACGATGTGCTCATATTTCCCAAGCCGTCTCTGCAAAAGCTCTTCATAACTTAGCAGGAGAACGGCTTTGTCCTTGCTGGGAATCACTAAGGAAGCTCTGAACATTTCAGTTCCCTTCTCCCTGTCAGGAAGAAAAAAAGGACCACAAGTAGGGTTCAGAGTGGGATAAAGTCAGGTTCCCTCAGGCCCCACAGAGCACCTGCCATACTCTCTTAACCAGCCTACCAATGAGAACAGTGGGCTCGACACTGAGTCCTCAGAAAGGAAAAATAAACATTAGTACCGGAAGAAGTAAAGACCTGTCCTAGAGGAAGGTTACCAAGGGCCAAAAATGCTGAAGAGGAGAGAATTGAAAGGTAACTGACCTCCTACCTCTCTCTGAGACAGACCCAAGGGGCAGCAAGGGAAGTGGGTGGACTACTAGAAGTTTCAGTGGGTGAAGTGCTAGAAGAGGAAGTTTTGGAGTCAAGGTGGAATTGCATTCTCTCCTTCACAGGGATGACCAAATTCTGACATTTTACACAACTTTAAAATAGCTAATACCTTAGTTTTTTACACCTGGTAAAGTGTGGTGAAACTGTCGAGGGGAAATGGCTGGGAATAAAGGATTGCAAGGCCTATAAAAATACAAACCATTCCAAGTGTTTCCATTCTTGGAATGAGGGTACTCTGATTCAAGATAGTAGACTGACCACCAAAGGAAGAAGAGTGGGAGAGGCAACTGTTAGTGGATAAGACATTTCAAAAAAAAAGGACACTTGTGGGATTGAGTGGAGCACTAAATCTATAGTTCAGAGCCACTTGTGGGATTGAGTGGAGCACTAAATCTATAGTTCAGAGCATTCAGGAAGAGGCTGCAGCAAAGGAAAGAACCACTGTCTGGTATAATTTCAGACTGCAGATTCTGAACCCAGCAGGACACCACAAGATGGGAGTGACAAGAGAGGACCAAATCTAGGGAGGAAAATTCCAAGTCCATATATGAATGAATGACTAAGCTTATAGGCCTCCTACACTCCTCTTTCCCAGAACTGAGAAGAGACACAAGAATTGAGATGGAAATGTTTCACTGAGCATGGGGCAGAATGAATGAAAAGACTGACACCTAAATCCATTATTGTAAAACTTCAGAACATCACATAGAGAAAACATGTAAAAGGAATGGTATTAGGTCACATTAAATACATCATCATATAGGGTGCTGTAAGACATTGGGAGCAATGCCTCAAAGTTCAAAAGGAAAATTATTTTGACCTTAAATTCCATACAAAGGCAAAATATTAATCATGGTCTCAGAAAGTTTACCTCTCATACACCTGTTCTGAGAAAATTACTTCAGAATATACTTCAGCAAAGTAAAGGTGAAAATCAAGAAAGAGGAAAATATGGAATACTAGAAATTTAAAAAAAAAAACCCAGATGAAAATAAAAAGAAATCCTAGGGTAAAAGTTTTGCAACAAGGCTGCAAAGCAATGACAGTATTTCTTTTTTTATTTTTTTCCTTTTTTTGTCTTTTTTACTGACCGGTAATGGGATCGCAACCCTCGGTGTCGCGCCCGTACCGGGGACCGGCAACGGGATCACAACCCTTGGTGTTGCGCCCACACCGCGCTCAGCCAGTGAGCGGGAACCAGTCTCCACATGGGATCCGAACCCTCGGCGGGAGCCCCGCTGCACTCCCAAGCGGTGCACTCTCCAGTGCACCACTGGGCTGGCCCACAATGACAGTATTTCACAGATCTGGAGACATCCAAGTTTTAATGGCATGCTTTAACAGCTCTGAAATAAAAATGTCTCCCAATCAATGATCAATGACAGTATTTCACAGATCTGGAGCCATCCAAGTTTTAATGGCATGCTTTAACAGCTCTGAAATAAAAATGTCTCCCAATCAATGATGTCTTTTGGTTGCTGCTGTCACTAGATGCTGTGGAATGAATTGTGTGCCCAAAAGTCCATGTATTAGAGACTTAACTCCCACTGTGACAGTGTCAAAAGGGTGGAGAATCCTATCATGGTAACTGAAAGATGGGACCTTGAAGGGGTGGTTAGATTGTGGGGACCATGCCCTAGTAAATGGATTAATCTATTGATGGCTTAATGGTGGTCACAGGCATGGCTTTGAGGACCTCAAAAGGAGATCCAGTGAAGAAGTTAGTCTCTCTCTACTTCTTCCATACACCATGTGACACCCTGCTTTGCTATGAAGGGTCACTATCCACCGACAAGGCCGTCACCAGATGTGCTCCCTAGACTTTGGACTTCCCAGCTTCTGAAACTGTAAGCAATAAATTTCATTTTGTTATAAATTGCCCAGTTTCAGGTATTTCTGTTATGAACAACAGAAACAGACTAATATACCAGGCATCAGGGTAACATGAATTCCATTGCTTGCAGAAACTTGGTCATAGCTGTTCATTTTGTCATCATTTCAAATGAGTTATGTGTCTTGCTAGATGTTAGTAGTGACAAAATTAAATTTTATCTCATAAGAAGAGACAAAGGCAATTAGAAACTCCAGGAAAAACAGAAACGTATATGTTCTGATCCAACTAAACTAAACTGTGGCATGATTCTGAACATTTGTGATAAAGACCACTTGGGACATACTTGTAGTTCAACAAAGTTAGGTTTTAATAACTTGCGGCAGCAATATAAATCACATACCAGAGGCACTATGAGGCATCTTGCCAAACAAAAGAAGAGACAACATTTTTACAGGATTGGGGGAAGAATGGAGTATAGGTAAAGTTAAATGAAGCAGTGTTTGGACAGGCCAAAGCAAAGCAGGGCCATGTGTAAAGTTGTTAATGTCGTACTGGACTGAGAAGAAGACTCCAGGTTCTGTGTCCTCAGAAACTACAACATTAAGATAAATGTGAATTTTGTTTCTGAAAATCCTTATCTGAACTCTGGGCTTTGGATGCATTTCTGTATCAAAGTGAACCCATGGCTCAGGTCTTCCAGACAAGAATGAGATGTTCCATTCTTACTAACAGGATTTCCAACCGCAAAGTTTCTGACAGTCTGTGATTTTAGAGATCTAGCTCTTTCAAAGCTATGTCCTTTTATTAATGAACAAAATCAAGTTTATAGATTCACACCATTTTATCTAGATACAAAGATCACTTTTCTGCAAAGGGGCCTTCATGTTCATCTGGTAGAGAGAAAAATATAATCTTAATGTATTAGATGGCTTTGTAGTTAATGTTATTTATATAGTTATTAAAAAGCAAATACTCTTTTTTGGTTTTCAATGTTTAGATTCAGTCTATAGACAAAACATAAAACACAAGTATCATTACAGACCAGAATTTAAATGTTAATAACTCTGACAATGCAAAAGTAAATGATTAGGTAACAAAAGATGAGTACAGGAATTTTAAAAGGAGAGGTAGAATAAAGGGTAGGAGAGGGAATATTATCATTTAAGATAGTAGGGGTAGTCTAAGATAGTCTAAGCCCTGTTTAATTGATGGAAGAAGAAATAATATCATAAAAAATTGGAATGCAGAGGGAAAGTAGGAGTGCTGTAAATTTGCTAAATCCTCTTCACAACAAAGAGTCAATAGATGTCTTATTTTTATCAAAAAGTAAAGAAAAAGCATGACTGTCATAATACTTAGAGTTAGGGAGGTAACTACAAAGAAAACCGTAAATTTGCTAAATCCTCTTCACAACAAAGAGTCAATAGATGTCTTATTTTTATCAAGAAGTAAAGAAAAAGCATGACTGTCATAATACTTAGAGTTAGGGAGGTAACTACAAAGAAAACTTCATACAGAAATATTAGAAGTTGATGTTTCTAGAAAGTGAGAACTGAGGAATGGACATGGTAAAATTTTCCTTTTTATCATTAATGCTTACTTACCATTTTGTTAACCACGTACATTTATTATTTTGATAATAAATAAAAAAGAAAAAATATTTGGAGGCATGGAAGAGAACGAGATAAGTAGGCAAAGGGGTAGAAAATTGGACACTTTGCTGAAATGGATTTTTAACTCTTTAATTAAACAATACTTACCCATTGTTTTCTGTGGTTTGATTCCTTTTCTCTTTTACCCTATCACCATTCTTCTTTTCTCTGCCTATAATTTCACCCTGATACACCTGGTCTCCAATAAGCCTGAAACACAGGAAACAGCTGCATTACCAGCTTGTAGTTCCAAGCAAATTCAAACATGGATCTCATAACCATGACTACCATAGAAAATATTTTTATTTGCCTCTTGGATATGCAGAAAGAATGCATTCCAGACTAGGGCACTGCCCTTGAATCACTCATTTCATTCTAGGGCAATTTTCACCAGATGCAAATGGTGAGACCCAACCCATGGTTCCTCTGTGATTCTCCAGGAGACAATCACAAGAGCTGCTTCAATTTCCATGAAAATTCACCAATTTGAATCTTGTCCAGACCAAAAATTAAATGCAAACACCACCCCTGTTTTGCATATCTTTAGATCTTGGATCAGAAGTAGAGAAAATATATTCAATCTGGTATATCAAAGGTTTCATGCCATCTCGTTGTTCAGGTCTTCACTTAACCACAGCCTCCCCCATGATACCACCCTGATTTCCACGCCTATTGAAGCCCCTCTCAGTACTACTTGCCATCATTATAACATTCACTACTATCTGAAATTATCTCATTTATTAATTTGTTTATTTATTTATTGACTGATTCACCCCACAAGAATTTCTGGAGCAGAGCAGCACTGTCTTTTTCATAGAAGTACACCGATCCCCTAGAAGAGAGCCTGGCCCATAGAGGACACTCATTTGTTGGAGAAAAGGAGGGAAGAAATGAAAGAGGGAAAGAAGGAGGAAAGAAGGGAGAGAAGAGAGGAATGGAATGAAAGAAGAGAGAATAGACAAGCTGAAGGAAAGAAGAAAGAGAAGGAAGGAACAAAAATGGAAAGAAGTAATGAGGAAGGGAAAAAGAAAGAAAGGAAGAAGAGAAGGGAAGGAATGAAGGAAGAAAGGAGCAAATGAACAAAGGAGTCCATCTTCTTGTTCATGTACCATTTACTGGAATATAAATCCTCAGAACCTAAAGGCTGTGGCCCTCCCCTGATCTCAGGGACACCCCAACCACCCCACAGAAAACTCTTCGTCTCTGGCCCGCATGCCACCTACATGGTGAAGTTGGTGATGAAGGCTGCAGCTGGAATCTGCATCTGAAACTCAACTTCCTGGTCCTCAGAAGCTCTGTTGAGCATTCTGCAGGAAACCGTAGTGAAGGCATAACGAGAAATAATGGTAGACTTCACCGAGAACTCTGTCATCAAAGGTTTGGTTTTCTGTAGGAATCAAAACACACCGTATTCTCAGTGATGCGTGAGAGCATGACTCAAACATTTGGGGGTAGGTGTGGGTCTTTTTTCCATTAGGGAAATAATCTTCAATTCAGGAGCCCGTGGCATGTGGTTCCCATCTCCTTTCTTTGTCTTGTCCTGATTTCCCCATTTCTTTTTTTTTTTTTTTTTTTTCCAGTAAGGGGATCATAACCCTTGGGGTTTGGTGTCACCCGCACCACGCTCAGCCAGTGAGCGCACCAGCCATCCCTATATAGGATCCGAACCTGCAGCCTCGGTGCTCCCAGGGCCGCACTCTTCCGAGTGAGCCGCGGGTTCGGCCCTGATTTCCCCATTTCTAACTCCCTTCTTTTGTTAAACAACCCTGGTTGAATGACCAATTCATAACATACAAGAAAATCTTTTAACGTAACTTTAACAATGAGCACAGTGAAAATATCCAATTTTACAGATAATACACATTGCTTAAATAGTTCAATCAATTATTGGAATTTTAGAAGTAAAGTATGTGATATATATATAACTTTTCTATTATCACTTTTAGACCACATTTACAAGATCACTGAACTGATGAAAACATTGAAACACGCCTAAAGAAATTCTCCTATTTTCAAATTAGTTTCAGTATCCACTTAGAGAAAAGACACAAATACAGTCATGTTATTGTGAAATAGGAATCACTATTGAACTCAACAGAGTATTCAGGGAACTAGAACCCAGAAAAAGGAAAGCCTAAATCTGTGCTAATTAAATTTATCCCCAAAGCCTCTGATAAGAGCAGTAGCTAGATGGTGCAAATTTAAAAGCCCATTAAAACTATTCAGGGCTTTTTCTAGCCTTTGCAACAATGCTACTTCTGATGGCAATTGGTAGCAGAAGATGGAAGAAGGCAGGAAACATTTCTAAGGAAAGCCACTTCTCAAAGAGTGATTATGTGACTCCAGGAGCTGGCTAAACAGTTGATAGGTATGCTGTGAGCTGACTGTTCCTGTGTGGAAGCCCTAATCCCCAATGTGAGGTGTTTGGAGATGAGGCCTCCGGGAGGTAATTAAGGCTAGACGAGGTCATGAGGTGCAGCCTCATGGTAGAATTACTGCCCTTATAAGAGGAGACACAAGAGAGCTCTCTACCTCTCTCCCTCCACCTGCACACACCAAGAAAAGACCATATGGGCACAAACTGAGAAGGCGGCCATCTGCAAGCCAGGACAAACGACAAGAGCCCTCACCAGACACCAAACCTGAAAGAGCTTGATCTTGGACTTCCAACCTCCAGAACTGTGTGATAATAAATACCTGCTGTTTAAGCCACCCAGCCTATGGTAGTTTGTGATGGAAGCCCAATCAGACTAAGACAAGGCATTGTCCCATTACAGTCCTGGGACAGACATGTGAAGTAGGTGGCTTTATTCCCATTTCATGGAAAAAGTCAAGCTTAGTGCGGGTCTGTATTGGTCCAGGTCAGCAAATAATGGAGACGGGACTTGAACCCAGTGTCACTTGCTCCCAAGTCTGGATGTGCCACTGTTATGCGAGGCTGCCTGGCCACTCTCTGTGGACAGGTCATGCTCATCTCTGTGTGTTCAGACCCCAGCCTAGTCTTTGGCACACAGCAGACTCTCAGTAAATGTTGAATGGATCTGGCTCACTCTGACAAGATTCTGTTCTCTCCTGTTGGAACCGTAGCCTACCTGGACAATGTTTATTTCAACACTCATTTGCTTTATTAATTTATTTACAGTCCTAAACTCATTTTCAAAATGGATATGAGATTCTGACCTCATGTGTATCCAGGCACATTGCTCCTGCAATATACAAAGGTGATCACAAACCCTGTTTCAAATGTGTGACCACAGAGGGTTATTCTATTTAAACAAATATTTACTCAAGACATTTGAGTTGTCATTCTCTGCACAGCAAACCACCAACAGCTTAAGACATATTTCACATGATGGATCAGAGAACTGGATATAAATATAAAGCATATCTGAGAATATATTCAAAACTCTACAAAAGGGTGAGTTGTGAGATCAGAGCCGAGCACAGGCACAAGAGCAGAGAAATGATGAGGACTTCATGCAAAGGTGTCAGGGCGTTCATTTTTGTGACAGAACTTCCAGTCTTGGGGACTCAAAAAGCTAAATGCAAGTGGGAAGAGTTCTGGGAAAATATTAGGGACATGTGTATCTTTCTTAGAAAGCCGGAATAGATATACAGAGTTCAGTTACGTAATGATCGAGTGAAAAATAAAAAATCTGGGCATATTTGAAAGATGTTTGCCTAAAAGAGGAGAAACTCTCCAGGTTGGTCTGAGAAGGAATTATCTCAAAGCAGTGGCTCTCTACATGTGGTCTCCCCAAGGACAGCATCAGCATCAGCATCACCTGAAAACTTGTTAGAAATCCAAGTTCTCAGACTCTGTCCCAAACCCACAGAATCAGAGCCTCAGAGTCTCCATTTAACAAGCTTTAAGGGATTCTGTTGCAGGCTCAAGTTGGAGAACCACTATTTTAAAGAAATTCCATGAGGTGACCCTCTTCATATATTTCTTCATCTGTAAATTGAAAGAGCTTGAATAAATCACTAAAATTACATACACTTCTGAGATCCGTAGATCCAAAGCAAAGCCAGGAGTAAGAAATAATATCTTGCGGGCCAGCCCGTGGCTCACTTGGGAGAGTGTGGTGCTGATAACACCAAGGTCCCGGGTTCAGATCCCATATAGGGATGGCCGGTTGGCTCGCTGCCTGAGCGTGGTGCTGACAACACCAAGCCAAGGGTTAAGATCCCCTTACTGGTCATCTTTTTTTTTAAAAAAAAAAAAAGAAAGAAAAGAAATAATATCTTGGGGTTTAGGAAATTATTCTTGAATTCAGAAATAATGGGATTGTACAATATTCTTGTATAAAAATCTAGTCTCTTTAGGACAAAATCTGCCTTTCTCTCCCCAGAAGTGATTTGGAATAAAAAGAGATTCCAGATGTAGTTTAACAAAATGCTTCTGTTAAATGCTCTCATTAAAAACATTTAATACAATTCAGTAAAGACAAAAAGGATTAGGCTGGGGGTGGTGATGATAATGATCTTAACGGCATGACAACCTGTTGGATTTTTTAAAATTAAAATTTGTATCTCATCTTGTTTCATAAAAGGAACTGTAAGGTAAACATAACCATGAACTGAGATGAACTGTTTACTTTGATTTGTGTTATTTCTGGAAACAGGTTTTCTTCCTAAATTATTCATGATTAAATGTACTATTTTATCTCCAAATCTGAGCTGATATATAAGAAATGGTCCATAGCTGTGCTCTTGTGTATGTGTGGAGGGTCTAAAATACCACTGCACATGGCTCTGATTTCTACAGAAGCAACAGAAAGTAAATAGGAATCAATGCTAAAAAAATTAAAAATTAAAAATATCATGTGAACTCAGAAAATTCTAGCTTTCTATTCACCACTTTATTTAAAATTTAAACTAGTTTTTAAAAAATTACCAAGTAACATATGCACATGGCAAAAACTTCAAATTACATTGAATATAAACTGAAAATTAAGAATCTCCTTGCAGCCTGGATCACAGTTCTATTCCCTAGAGACAGTATTGAAGAGTTTTTGGTATGTCCTCCCATAACTCTATACTGTACCAATTTGCTTTAATTTCACCTAATGATATAGTTTGTTCATCTTTCTTTATCTGTTTATGTTCCAGTGATCTCATGCTGCATAACAAATCACTTTAAAACCTAGTGGCTTAAAACAACATGGTTTTTGTGGATCAAGAATTCCAGAAGGGCTTGGCTGGGAGGCCTGGCTCTCTGCAGTCAGATGGTGGCTGGAGCTGACACAGCGGTTAACGAAGCAGCTCAGTGCTGCTCATCCCTCTGTCTCACATTGTCCCAGCGCCCCTCTGTGTGGTCCTTCCAAATGGGCAAGGTGGGCTAACTCACAGTATGAGCTACCTTACACATCAGTCCATGTGGTAGCTAGAGGCTTCTCTGCTCACCTGGCAGCTTTCCCAACAGCAAGGTGAAAGCTATATATCATTTTATGCCCTAACCTCAAACATCACATAGCATTTCTTCCCTCTTACTCTGTTGGTCAAAACCATCACAGAAGCACACTCAACTTCAAAGGCAGAGGGCACAGGCCCCGTCCCTGTGGGAAGAGTCGAGGGTCCAAGTGCTGCCATCTTTGGAAAACGCACCCTGGCACTGAACAAAAGATGTGCCTTGTTCTTTCTTAAATAGCTGCATAGTATTACATTTTATGGATGCATTAAATTTTAATTAACTAGTCCCCCATTGTCCATCAACCCTCTATAATTATTCTTCATTATTGATTGAAACTCCCTTCAGATGCCCCTGCTTTCTAATTCATCAACATCAGGGTTGGGCAAACTATGGCCGGCAGACCACATGGTCTTGTAAATAAAGTTTTATTGGATCACCACCACATGCATTCCTTTACGTTCTGTCTGGTTGTTTCTGGGCTACAGTGGCAGAGTGATTGAGTAATTATATTGTTGTGACGGAGACTGTACGGTCTGCAAAGCCTAAAATATCTACTAACTGTTCTTTTAAGAAAAAGTTTGCCAGCCTGGTCTACACTATTAAAATGGATAAAGCCCTGATATTAGTCATTTATTTATCTTTACTGATTGTTGTGTTTTAGAAAGAGATCTCAAGTTATATGGCTCTTAGATTTTTTTAATTAAAATGTAAAAATTAGAAAACACCTGACAAATATTCTTTATTACATTATTTCTTATGGCTAAATTAAGATTATTGATGTGGTAGAATTTTCCATAATGTTCCGTCAAGAATACAAATACAAAGAATAGTTAATGGGCCCAAGAGACAGGCTGAAAAAAAGTTTCAAGAAACTATTTTAGCATTTCTGCTTCTGCCAGCTACTATTTTCCATGAGCCCCTGCTGTCACATGCCATAGCCTGCCCTTCCTCTACAGCACACTCAGTCTAGAATC